GGGGTTATTCATTCGAAAATGCCAACTGACCGGTTACAGACCATTGAACAGGGAAGCAAAATTCTAATCTGCATTTTAGTTACAAAAACTGGACACAGATCTTCTTCCGAGCGAGTCTTCCTGGAGATTCATTGACTCCAATTATTCGTCGGTCAAATCTAAGCAAATGTTACAAAGTGGCCCCGCGAATTCCGCAACAGGATTCCCTTTTTCAATTGACGCAAAGCGAAATTCTACGAACAACACATACTACTCGCGCGCCTCCCGATCAATAGCATCACCGCTACACCATGAGCTATAACTTCAGATTCACCAGATACCGGAAGGATGAAAGGATGAACATTTCAGCTTGTCCTAATCGGTTTGAGAAGCACGGTCGAAGTAAAGGTCTTGAATGCGTGTTTCGAAGGCACGACATACATCGATGGACAGGGAAAGCAAATTTTCAGTTCAGATATTGCCCAATTTGAGGTAGATTACGGACTATGAAGGCTGCAGTGGTAATCAGGTCTTTTGAGGTTACTAGTTGGTCATTTTGGTTTGTTTTTACTGGAAACCGTTTAAACACGGTACATTGGCTAGAGGATTGGTAGATGCGTTGATGTCACTGCATCACTGGTTGAATGGAGAGCTGTGTTGGGGAGGACTGGTGAGTGCATACATACAAAAGTGAATGATACTTCCCGGTTCTCCCTTAGCTTTTGATTCAAAACCTTGAACCGCGAGGCAGCAGTTTTGGAGATTCTTGGGTACCCTTTTTCGAAGCCAAAGGCACCATAGCCTGGATTACGTGGTTGCAGGTGGTCTGCGTGCCCAAGGCGCAATGTATTATCGTCTCATTCCCTTGACAGCTGCGCATAAGAACTTCGTTTTGAGCATCATCGGGACACTGGCTTTAAAAGCAGTTTGACCGTACAGAATTGTGCCCCGACGGTCACAGTCCACCGTTGGGTGATCAGAGTGCGCGATTCTTAGGGCCGACCGTTTTCCTTCTGGGGAAGGCAACATCGCTGCTTCCATGAACATGGGCATGCTGGTTGCCTGGAGAACACCTTACTGCCTTATCACTTCTATCGCACAGGACAATAAGACTTTTCCCTTAGACCACCCCACAGTATGATTGCTCGCGGTACAAGGACTTGCTGCTCACATTTGGACCTGCTGGCAAGGTTGGGAACTGAGGCCCATCAAGCCTAGTCCGCAGGATCATCGCAGACCAGAAGTCCGTTCACCACGACGAGATGACACTTTAGGCCGTAACTCAGTAAACTGGTCCAGGTTAACTCCTCTACAGCCACGAGCCTTACAGAATGAGTAGCGTCGTCGAATTCACACTGAGTCCCAGATAACCTTTGAATACTATCAGCAACTTTCGGATTTGTACTGCCCTCTTGCTGAAATTATGTATATGTGTCGTTTTTCTGGCAGACATCTAGAATGATGCAGCGACTCAAGCTTTTATGGTAATTCCTCCTTTCAGTCACAATCACCGCACCGAATTTCCCCGGCTATATCGTCACTTTCTGTGATGAAGAAACAAACGTAGAAATAAATACCGAAGCACCTAAAACAGATTCAAAGGAGGGTCTACTCCGCAGCCTGCATCTGTTCGAGGCTACAAACTACTAATTTTTTCCATCTTACTGACCACGGAGGATATCCGTCCTTAGTTGATCAGAGTTTTTCGCACATCACATGATTAAGCCGACCATTAAATTTGCGCCTAAATCTGCTGATGAGCTATAAAAAGAGCGAAACTCTGGTCCAAAGCTTCCCTCCCTTGGTGTGGACTCACCAGAATAATTACTCCAGAACAAGAGGACGACCGTTCAAACGGAAGTGGTGTGAAAAGGAACGAAACACGTATCCCGCAAAACCCCAAAAAAAACCTTTTATTCATCATTAGTTTGTTTTTTGCATGAGGTGTAACAATGCGCGCTAGGGGAGAGATTTTGCAGTAACATCTTCATGTAACCTATGAGTTTGACCAGGGTCGCAATACCCACTTGAACGTCAACCGAATTCGGACATTTATAGACCATCGAATCAAACGTGGGTACAGATCACAATCTCCTCAACAGCAAGCACATCTTTTACTAAGAGGTGACTGCCGCACTCTCCAAACTCCATCCTTTTAATCTGTACTCCCATTCTTCCAGAAGCAAGTGGGAAAGAGCCTCTTATTCCAACCTTGCGCAGCTTGTGAAGGTCCTGGCTGACTGCTTGGGTCATCAATAGGTCCCACGCCTTCACTATGTAGATTTCAATTCTTATTATTGCTATGAAAACCAAGCAGTAATGACAAACCGGTTTGTGTGCAAATGCGTACTTAACTGACGATCGACCCGTCCGTATAACACGAAAGCTAAGGAGAGCTGCTTGACCCGATTGCTGGCAGTGAAATTACATAAAAATCGCATCGAACACAGGTGACATACCCTCAAAATCATCATCGAAATGCTAAACATTTGGAAAAATTTGTGTGTTTACAAAAAAGAACCGTATGCAGGAACATTGACCGCCGCCTGATTGACTAAACATGTAGTCAAAATAATTAAAAACTTCAAAAGAACTATGTAGATTAAAGTCGACGGACAGCGTGAAGACCTCTGTGAAACCACGGGGAACTGATGCACTGAAGTAAAGAGAATAAGCGGAAATTTCAACAAATTCTAGCAAAGTACATGTTTCGTGTTCCTCGTGTGCTTTTCATATGTAGGCAGCGATGGTCACTAGACCTGCGTTTCATGGACAACACATAGTGACTGTATTGATTCGCAGCTGCGCGCAAACATAAGCCTCAAGTTTAAAGTGATCACGAGCATGTACGATTTTGTTGAAGTCAAAAATATCTTCGTTTTTTCAAGAGTTCCTCAACTGGATAGTTTGCAAACCCACAGGCCTTGCATGGTAATGAACGAAAAATATCGGTCAACATCGATACAGTTTAACCTGCAGCATTTTCTATAAGAAAAGGATCTGTGATCAGTTAAGCTTTTCTGAAGGAACAGTCAGTGTTCAGCTAGGAATTAATTGTCTCTCTTTTGCACCAACCTGTTTTGCAAATCAGACGATTTCAACTGCTTCAATATTATATTTTGCAAAGTTCTGTATCAGTTGCAGATGACACCGTCACTGGTAGGTACCACCGACTTGAAACTGCGTGTAATCTTAATTTATAGTCTACGGAGTCCACAAACCATTGAACTGTCCGCTGAAATCGATACCCGATTCATTTTGCAAGACTTTTTTCCTAGCTTTCGTGTGTGTAGTGCGTGAAAAGCCAATACAACCAGCTCTGTTTAATTTGCCTCCAAAACTGTTGGGCGAGTTTATTCTAACCACTCATAGTGAACCCAAAGCCTATTGCTCCAGATTACTCAGCAGCTATCAGACTATATCGTTTCAGGTTGAAGCGGATCATTTTCCTCTCACTTCTGAAATAACACGACTTTACAATAAATCTACCGATTGGCCATCTAGTCCCACAACTACGTCCATTTGCTGCTTAGGACTTCCTTGAAAGTGAATCAGATATGGCAATGTAACGCATTTGAAACTCGAATGTATCGGCTTGCACGCCCCTCATAGGACCTTATACGTGCCTCTTTCTCTCTTTCCCGATCTGATTGGCTATTAATGGGTCAAAATCGGTCATGAGATGGATCCAGAGGTGTGTAGCCAGCATGGGGCGGAATAATTTCACGCTCAGAACGTGAATTTACTGATAACTCGACACGGGTAGCAGAGTGAATAGGATCATGGACTACCATTTTGTTGTGGCCCCACAATTGGAAGCTCGAAGCGGCAGTCTTGATTGTTTGTCTTGTAACGCATTTGAAACTCGAATGTATCTGCTTGCCCGTTTCTCATATGACCTTATACGTGCCCCTCCATTTCTCTCTTCCCCCCATTGCAGGCACCACGGACGAATCACCACGGGCCCTGGACAGGGAAGAGTACCTCGCTTGTACACCCCCTAACTGACCTTGACCCGACCCTGTACACCCCCTTCCTTCCGGTTTCGGTTCGGGTTAATACACGTGCGTTGTTGCTACACTCCGGTCTTCTTCCCTGTACCACCCGACCTGTGCGCATGTGTGCTGTGTATACTGTGTGGATTCATTAATACCAGTCCGTATATCTGCACATTTCAGAACTGACGTGTGCCGTCGCTACATCCTCTCGAACGTCGAATACCGTTGACTTCCTGACATCCCACGCTACAGCATGATCCCCTTGACTGGCAGAGTACCGCACCAGAAGGCTAATGCTCTCGAAAGGAGGGTAAGTGGTCTGGAGTCACGTCAACCTGCTCGGCTCGGTAGAAAATCGTTTGCTACTCGCAAGTAAGGCTTCTCCGAGCGTACTGCAGAATATGGACAAACGCGACTACCCTTAACGTCGAACCCGTGCAGGGCTGCACTTGTGGACTATCGAGGTGATTGCTGGATAGACCAGTAGCTACTGGAAGAAGTCAGTGTAGTTCGCGTTCCCGTCCAACTTAGATCAATTGCACTCTGCAGCAATGCGTATCACAGTTGGAAGTTGAATCAACCATTTGAGATTCATGAGCTGAGTATCGCAGTTTTGAAGAATGTTATAAGAATGAAGTTTGAACGCCCAAACCTGTCTAGTTTTTTTGGGATTTCCTGTGAGGATGCAAATCCGTTATCAGTTTGTGATTCCCACGCAAAACTCACATAACCCTCAGGTTTCAGGTATGTTGCACCTCATGAACAAGAAGGTTCAAAAAGTGTAATTTATTTTCAATCGATCTGTAAAAACAATGATTGAAAAAATATTGCACCGCGTCCAAAGAGTAAGATAACAATGTTTTCAGAGAGAAACACTATCAATCCATTGAAAGATGCTGCCAAATGTTCACTTCTTATAGCGGTAGAGTAGGTAACATTTCCAATTATGTCATCCATGGATAGGCTATATACAATACCGGAAACAGAGCTGATCGAAATTTCTCTGAGTATCACCCGAAAGACTAACCTTCAGCCGATGTCGAAACCGTTTCAGTATCAGGTTCTTCAACATCTGAAATACTGCCGTCTCCTTCCGACAACTCCGGTGGTTCAACCTGCATCCGTGCGAAATTCACAAAAACGTGATCCAAAGTTGTCTGTCGCACTGAGTACTGATCAATCCACTCATTTTCACGGAGCTTATTCAGTACAGTGAAAAGCTTGGACATTTGCACACCTTGAGAAAACTGGTACTCATGACAACGGTTGTATGATTTGTTGACAGTCACTGCGGGAAATTCATTCTGCAATGTTATCCTCACATCAACATCAGCCTGTGGTTTGTCAGTCAAACGAACTTCGGCAATGTATCCATTTCCGTATCGATTTTTTAGTTGTTGCACGCTACCCAGACAACGAAACTGTCCATTCACCATGATGCCCAATCGATTGCACAACGCTTCACACTCTTCCATACTGTGAGATGTAAGAACTACCGCCTTCCCGGCTTTTGTCAATCTAAGTATCTGATCCCATAGAAATCGCTTACCCACTGGGTCCATACCGCTAGTGGGTTCATCAAGAAAGATTACCCTTGGGCTTCCGAGAATAGCAATGGCTGTCGACAGCTTTCGACGGTTTCCGCCAGAGTATGCTCCGGCTACTTTGTCTGCATGTGGTGCTAGGCCCATGTTGTTTAGGAGTTTTGCCACAACCGGTCGTATTTTTGGCTCAGGAACACCGCGTAGTCTTGCGTAAAGCGTCAAGGTTTCTCTACCAGTCAGTGTATTCAACAGCGCGTCAGTTTGTGGACAAAACCCGAGGCTTTGTTGTGCCTGACTCATTTGATTGATCACATGATACCCGTCGACGTAGGCTGCTCCTGCGGTTGGCGATAAAGAACCAGTTAGCATTCGAAACGTAGTTGTCTTTCCAGCACCGTTCAGCCCCAACAAACCGAAGCATTCAGCTGGATGAATTGCAAAAGAAAGTCGATTGACTGAAGGCTTCTTCTTTCGTCGAAAGAATTTTGTCAAATCTGTAGCCAGCACGGACGGATTGGGACGCATCGAGTTTGACTGACGGAACTAAACGGGTTAGAAAATAGAAAAGATGTTTCAACACGGTAATTGATGGGTATCACAGTTCAGCAAGTTGTGTAATCCTGCACAACGCGAGCCATTTACAATAACATTGAATGTTTTCTCATTTAAATTACTCTTATCACAGCAACCTTTGAAATCTTTGTCTACTGTAGACCGAATCCAATCAAATGGCTGTCTAAAGTTCGACTATACTCTGTCAGCTAGACGTGACACACTTCTCATAAGGTTTTTAAAAACTCTTTGATGACATACGATTGGATTCAATCTTGTTGGATCACCTCAGTTAGACGTCCTCCGTCTAACTTATATGCTACTTGAACCCAAGTTGAGCAGAAGTGGACCAGAGGTTCAGCTGTATTCTTCTGAGTATCCTGTCAAAACCAAATTCGATTCCAAATGAGGTTATTCAACTTTATTCTTTTATCCAGCATGAAAAAAAGCAATTAGCAGAGTTTTTCGAGATATTGAGTCGTTTTGTAACACATTTGTGGACTCGTTTGGAGTCGCTTCTCTCTTCGTTTTCCAGTGCCGTGAAAGGTGCGGACAAATGGCTTGGCAACTGAGAGACTGGCAGATCCGGGTGTTAGACTAATTTACCAGAATCATCTTTTAGAGTCACTTCTAAATGCTCCACCATCAGATGTGGACTCATACCGGGACGAGATTGCCACCTCCTTGCATAGCGCTGGTAATTTTGCCCGTGGTACGACCCAACCGGGCGCACCGAAGCACTGGATATCAGACCGAACGGCGGCACTGTTTAAATCTCGGAGAAATATCCCAGCCNTAATCCGGTGGAAGAGCCATCAGACATAAAGGGAAAGTGAGCTTGCGAGCCAATCGTGAAGTATGGTGAACACAGAAAGCCAAATGGATGGAAATGGAGATCAAGAAACACTTGGGTGCTGTCGCTGCTACTCGCCTTCCAGGATTGGGACCGTGTGATCCTCACTGTGCCCTGTTGGAGACACTAAAAGATATGGCTGCCAACCGACGTCAGTGGCATTCTTGTTAACAGTTTCTATCCAATCACTTGAGTGAATGTCTGGAGGTGTAGACACCTCGGAATGATTGTGGTAATCTAGCGCTAAGTACCTTCCCCGTCCACCTTTACTCTTTTCTTTACAATAAGGCTTTCAAATAAATCATAGTTGTACGGCAGTGAAGCATCGGTGTTGAACACTGATATCATGCTGTCGATGATGATGATGATGATTGAGTCAACATACGGTTCTATTGCTGTTTTTTCCATTACCTGATAATCTTTCTTTACGGGGAACCGTTCAGCCGTAAAAAGACGATCGCAGCTACATTCATCAAAGAGATTGCATCTGTAACGTCACCAATCAGTGGACAGTGGATTGCGTTAGAAAACCATACGTGCGGCACTGATGCCGACTGTAGAATTTTTGGTTTATTTCCAGACTCCTCAGTCGAGACGTGCACAAATTCTACTTTTGGCGAATCCAGTTTCTTGCCGGAGACCACAAAATTCGAAGGCGCCTTGTAAAATCTCATTAAGATCATGAGGAGAATGTATTTTTACGGCTTAGATCGTTCCACTGAGTTGATATGGAGTTACAGACATCAGTGATTCGGAAGCACCCCGGTGTGATCGGTTTCCAGTCTAGTGTAACGCTTGAGACCGGTACCGATAGGTAATCAATGTGCTTGAGGGTGTCGAAAAGTGTCGTATGTCGTGTTTCTCCTGTATATCACTAATGAAGGCAAGCTAAGGGGTTCGCTAGATACGCATGTTTCAGAGAGTATAGTAACTTCTCACATCGTGATAGCACCTTCCTAGTGTGAGCGCAGTCATATTAAAGAGGCAAGTTGGGAACATATCAGTGTTTGGGTAGGGGGTGAGAATGAGAAACGTGTAAATTGACGTCTGTACCTAAAATTTTAGGACATATCCTCTTGCGTCCGTTGCACTAAGACTGTTTTCTGTGCTGTCATTTACCCATATAGATTCCCTTATCGCACCCAGATGTTCGTTAAAAAACAGGATGGTTCTTTTACATTCATTTTGCCGCAGGGCATGTGTACAAATTATTCTTGCTAAGCGTACGTGTATAAGTCAAATTTTCAAACCCTATTACAGAGATTAACAACCCACAAAACTCAGTTGTCCGTCGCAAACTTCATACGGGCCAGCAGATACCATGGCAGATGAGTGTTTGCATGAAAACTAGCGGAAGACTAAGCGACTATTCGAGAATCCCTGGAATAGTTTGAAACGATGAATGCAAGTAGTGACAAAATCTATAGTATCTTGGGTGACTAGGAAATAGAACTGGCGTGACGCGGTGATTTTGTGCATCCCCTTGCGAATGTGACAAAAAGTGCTTGCGGTTAGCGACCATGCTCCGAAAGGTGCAACTCATTCATCAGTATCCGAAAATGAATAGGAGAAACGCAGCCAGAAAAGACCAATACTAGAAGGAATGCACGGTGCACCTAAACACAGGAGCTTTCTGATATGCGCGGAAAAGAACAAGATAATGACATTTGATAATTGTTCCAACATTACTTGCTCTCGTAAATGAAATCGAGTCCATGAGCATTGTGTAGCTGTCCCATTGTCACTGGAAATACTACGAAAGACATGTGTTTGACATGGCTTTTGGTAGCCAGTGCGAGCGTTTTTCTCTTGCCTAAGCTTCGTTCATTGTACGTTGGATTCTCCTGTCAAAAGCTTCCCGTACGACTAAACTGCCCTCGTATATAGGACCGTTTTGTTGTGTGCACTGTATGAAAGGAGAAATTCTATCAAACATGAATCCCTGCATCGACTGTCGCCTCAAATCGTACTCGCTACTGGATATGGTGTAAGCCTGGCTAAAGGACATTTGTGTGCATCAGTCAACCTACTATGTATCGTTCAAGATCTAACAGGAACAGTGAATTTCGTGTTAAATGCTGCTTATTCAACAAACAGCGCACTTATAAGAGCTGAAAGGCGGTTAGCTGGCTGCAATTTAGCTCCACACTCTGGTTACGCCTGATGGTTATGAAAGTTGACTGTACAACAAAGCGGTGTTAGTAAAACCTTATTAACTAACCGACTTCGGAAAAGCGTAGAATTTACAATTTTTTTCGTGAAATTTATTGTGCTCACACAAAACACGGCTTTAGCAATCCCTATTGCCAAAAAAGCTAAACCTCCGAAAAATTGCATTTACCGATTACTGTTACCTTTTAAATGCTGAAACAAACCCAGAGAGATATCCAGCAACATGGAAACCGATGATTTTGATGTAACGCAAGTGGAGTTCATGCGTATCAGACGTACTATATACAGGCTATAATAAAATAAGCGTTGCGAAATAGCTAATTTCGAATAATTGTCTCCCAAACAATGAACAGTGAACTCCAAGTTCACATAAATAAAAACATATGGGCATGGAAAAAATCTGAAATTCCCTGACACATTGTTTCATCCACATTGAAAAGATCATCCCTGTACGCGGTTGCCGAATTCGCATTCACAAAATTTTAGTTTGGACAGCATTTCTGGTTCTTGGGCTAATGATTTCGAAGAGTTCATATCAAAGAAGAGTGGTGGACTGCCCAACTGAGACGAACCTCGAGTATCATTCAAACACCGGTTCATTTACTTCTATAAGATAAAAAGCAACAAACCTATGACATTTTGCCACTGGTATAAGTATGAAGGCCCTTCGTTGCGAACTCGTTTATTAGCAAACACCAAGTAGACAGGTACAAACTGTTGGACAGGAAAGTGAAGTGTCCTCTTGAACAGGCATGAATATTCGTTGACTATCACGCAGTTGTAAACAAAAACTGCAAAGCAGTTCCACAAGTTCCGCAGTAACCTTCACCTTCCATTAGACGGAGTTTCGAGGAGACCACAGACTACTCGCGTGTCTCATCAGTAGTATCCGTTGTTACACTGGTATTATTATTGCTTGTTGTGACTATTACAGTGTATCAATATTATTATTGTTGTTTAAAGAAACAAAACAAAGATTTATTGATATTTTGAATGCATGGCTAGACTAACAACTTGGAAATGGGTTAATATTGCAATTGTCAGTGTGATGTTTGTATTTTGTCACCTAGCTGTTCAGAGTTATAACAGAAGTAATAAAAGTGCTTGACAAACTTTGCCAAAAATTTGCTTCCTTTATGGCTAACCTGAATTAGTGCACACTCCGCAGAGACTCGCGATTACCTTAATCACTCTACTGTCATCAGAGGATGATGACACCGAAATGGATTAAATTGCGACTCGATTAAGAAACCAGAAAATTACTGACCAAATCAACGCCCGACCACCTAGGACGTTAGATCAATCTTCGATGCAACTCACCCGAGTCCTTCGCTCCTTAAATATGTTGTTGACCCCTTACGCCATGAGGACAAGCTAAATCTACGTCCTCCACGTCCCTACCTCGTGCTAACAACAAGTCCTCACCGAAAATACATATAAGGACTCAACATATATGTACGCGTAAGGAAAAAATGCACATTCCACGAATAATGAGCACACACAAAGTTATTTACTTCGTGTGATAACTTCACTGAGGACTACCTGGGACATGATTAGGCCCTGCAGTGTTTTAACACCCCCTGTGTTTTAACATCCCCGACTTTCAGGCCGGATTACAATTCTTTCACCAGTTATGCTGCTCAAATCCTGTCAGCCACCTAGACTCATAAAGGAGCAGCGTCCCAAACCAGTGTGGTGCAAATCACAGATTGCTTACCAAAAGTATCGAACGTGATACTACCCGGTTCAAATCACTTCAAATGTGGTGACCTGCGATTGTATTGGTTGCACAAATTCTGTCTATTTACACATTTTCCAATGATCAAATGCCTACCAAAATAAATTTGGAAAGGTGTGGCCCTGGAAGAATAGCAATCTCCTACAGATGTTTCCCCGCTTGGTAGCCAGAGATTTGCACGTTAATTGCCAAGCTGAGAAAATCGATCAATATCCCTCCGGTAAACAAAACCCTACCGCATAAACCTGCACGGTACCTTGATTTTACTGCTATTTTACCGTGTCACCCACTTATTAGAAGTTTACTACTTCTAAGTTACTTCAGTGCCCGCAAGAAGCAAAGGAATGGTTCTAGATGTCTGTCTCGAAGACGGCCCTCAGTTACTAACTCGATGGTTGACCTCATGTTCACACCAATCTTCAAACAAATCTATACAAAAATTAACTTTTTTTGTAAAAGCACAACGGACTAAGCAGGTTAGCTCACCTTATGCGCTCGTTCCTTTTCCTCCAGAACATCAGCTGGTAGTTGTTCTTGTTCTGAATCCAGTTCCGCCAATCTCTTGCGCAACTTTTTTAACCGTTTTTGCGACAAATTTGGATAGCGACGATGAAAGTAGGTACGCATAGGGCCTACGAAAAAGCGCTGTTCTATGACCAGAACAAAGGGGGCAAGGAGCAGGGTGGTTAAACCAAGTGCAAACAATTTCTTGCCTATTCCATCCCAACTCAACGGGTTCTGGTAAGGAGTGACATCGATGAATCCGGAATTCTGGTATTTAAGAATAAACTTTCGAAAAGCCAAGTCATACAATCCGCGACCAAAGCAGTATTGGGGAAATATGAGGAATACGTTCTTCAACGCGCTATTGACGGGAATTAGATTTGGTTGATCTTGACTCAGTGTGTCCAAGAAAAACGTAGTCATCACAGTTACCGAGCCGAGAAGTAGATTTGTAATGGCCATGACAACTAGTGCAGTACTGGGTGATCGTATCACAAACGAAAACGCATAGTGTATAGGAAGGATAGCCAAGCCGTAGAATAAAATAAGCAAAATAAAGGTACCGGCGGTGTCGTGGCCAACAAAAGCATCTTGGCGAAATGCGACAAACACTAGAGTGCAGAGTGTTGCTGATATAGAAAAGTTTATGATATCCCATATGTAGATACTGGTCCAGTAAACGAACGGTTTTAAACCGGATAAGAATTGTAAATGTTTTGACCCGGATTGTTTTTCACTAACCAGAAAGGTAATGAAACTGGCAGGTATGAAGGACAACGCCAGCATTGTGAACACAGCCAGAGTGACATCTAGTAGAAGTGACCGGCCGGAACGGGATGCCAGGACTTTCTGAGGCAGGTCTATGGGGTAATTCACATTATCAATACCGTAAGATCGCTCAGACTCTAGAGAAAGCGGTGGAAAGGATGTTGATTTGAGTTTAGCTGCCATCAAACGAAGTTGAACATTCTGAAGCATGTTCAAATAGCCCTTTGCAGAAACATAACCTTTGTTGTCAAACCATATTTGCAAATGATGAGTGGGTGGAAGCATTAGTCTTACGGTATCGGCCAGCTGAAGCCAAAAAGGATCGGGTCGGTTCCCATCAATAGGAGTAAGTTGACCAAGCTCCATATACAGTGGACGGCTTGGATCCAGGATCGTTTCTAATTCACCACGTGCAGCAGGATTTGGATTCACGATAAAACTGAGGCCGCCAAAACGTCGATAGATGAAACTATCACGAGTTTTGAGCAAGTACTCGGTAACATTGTAGGCAGTGAGATTGTAGAGTATATCAGTTGTTTGAAGTGTGACGGTTGGTGGGTGATCTGGTTGCACAGCGTTTTCCGGACAATCTTGGCTACCTTTTGTGCATGAACACTTAACATAGGAGCTATCTCTAGCTAGCTGACGTTCCACAGATGAAAGCTGTTCAGCATAGTTCCAGTTTGGTGGAGATATGTGGTGACTACAGCTGGAAGCCTTGGCTGGTGTAAACGTGTGTATATTTGGCGGAACACACCTGGTCCCCGTGTACCCATACGCAGCGGTCAATGCACTCTCGTATATGCTGGCAACTTGCCTAATGGTACGCATAACACCGGAAGTGGTATTCGGGTCTTTTTTGGCATACATCTGGTTCTCATAAAACACGTTCAACGGCGCGCCTTGCGGAGGAGACATCCACCAGGGGTTAAGTGACATCGGAGAGTTTGAAACTGAGACGTGGAAATAGTCAACAACCAGCATCGTCAGAATAATCAAACTGATAGGAAGAAGAAATTCAATTGCCCAGCCCAGTTTGTATCGTTTGAAATAATGGAAACGTTTTAAAAACATGGCCTTCATCTGTTGACCACAGTTTGGTTGAAGTTGCGTTGAATCGATTCCCAATTCGTCAAGTCCCGATGATAGTGAGGCGTAAACATGCGTGCGGTTGAGCAAACTTTGACGAGTTGCCGGCAAAGGAAGCTTTCCGTCATCCGTATATTTTGATAATCGGGCACTCACTCGTAGAGCATTTATTTGTGATTTTCTACGGCTGAAATAATTACTTTTGCTGTGTGGCCCTTCTTCCTGGTTGCACGCCTCAACTGTGGTTTCCGCCTTTATCTCGGACTCTGCAAGCTCAAAAGAAGGATCTTCGGCTAATTCGAGGAATACCTCTTCCAGTGAGGTATCCGACAAACCATAGGAAATGATCCCCAAAACACGAAGCTCCTTACATACGTTGCAATTAGTCTTTGCGTAATCTGTCTCGAGTGTTTTAAAAAATGCGGAAAATTGACCATCATAAGCATACCTTGAAGGAAGCTGTAAAACAATCTCTGTCGATGTCACACTAACCAACTGAATGTCCGACATGAATTGCCCAACAAAATCCAAAACAGCTTGCACGTTTGACGAAGTTGAAGTTGACTCCGTCTGCTCAGTTCTGTCACGTGTCAAGATCAAATAGTAGCCTTGTCCATGATTTGATTTTAAAAACAAACTGGTTCCGCAGCATCGAAGCCTCCCCTGTGAGAGTATGGCAATTCGATCACCCAGGACATCAGCTTCATCCATGTGATGAGTAGTCAAAATGATCGTACGTTTTCTCCGAAGATCTATTATTAGATCCCATATGGATCGGCGAGAAAAAGGATCCACACCAGCTGTGGGCTCATCCAGGAAAATCACCGGAGCGTCACCAATGAAGGCAATAGCAACGGAAAGTTTGCGCTTCTGTCCGCCGGAAAGCGTCTTACTAAGGCAATCCCGTTTGTCTTGAAAGCCGAGCGTTTCTAAGAACATGTCAATTTCCTTGCCAATCGACAATTTAGAGAGACCCTTTACAGAACCGTAGAATCGAAAGTGTTCGGCCACGGTCAAATGATCGAATAAAACATTATATTGTGGACAAAATCCAAGGTGATCATGCACTTCACGCAGCTGTTTTTGTGTGTCATATCCAGCAACCTGGGCAGTCCCTTTGGATGGAGGAATCATCCCAGTTAGTATGGAAATCAGTGTTGACTTTCCGGCACCATTGTGACCCAGTAAAGAAGTTATTTGGTCGGCATAAAACTTTATGGACAAGTTTTCCAAGGCTGGCTTGCGCATTTTGGCGTATTTCTTTGTGACATTCAGCACCGTCACACCGACTGCATTTCTTGTCTGATCCGGTTCAAAGTAACGCTCATCCCTGATATCCGAGTCTATACTATCACCATCCGTGGCAAGCACTGTCCGGGTACGCCCTTCAACCCAATACGTTCTTGTGAATGGGAAATAGAAAGGCCTTCTCAGGCCATATTTACCCGGATAAACATTATCAACGTACCAGGCTAACAACAAATAGATTCCCGCATCTACCCATAACATCAGCATACATTTTCCAATGGAGAATACATCCTCAGCAAACCGTGCTTTCCAAAAGTCTTGCCACTGAGCACCAAAGCCTTGTGTTTCAATGCGTACAAAGTAGAACAGGCCCAGACTATAAGCCACTTGACATGAAAGTGAAGCTGCAAACATGATCGTTTCAGTCATTGCAGACTCATTGCTAAAAATCAAGGGAGTCGGGAGGTAGAGAATGAAGTAGATCATGGCAGTAACAATAGCACCGAGGTTCGCTCGAGTGAAGAAAGTCGAACAAAGGAATGTAAGTGCAATCACTGCAACCATATAGGACAAAGACAACAAGAGTAACATGAAAAAATTCGCCAACGGAACAATGTTGCCCAGTTTGAACATGAGAGCGATGATCAGCGCCGAGGTACCCATGATCAAGAATGTGATGGAGAACCACCCAAGCCAGTGAATCAGAGCGGACAAACCCATGATACGTGTGAATTCTTTCAGCCGTTGTTCTTTCTCCTCTACAATATATTTGGTTGTCAGCATGGCTGTGAGAATCCAGGCAAAAAGCATAAATTGTGGCAACATACGTGAAAAAGAATTGAGAAAGTCCTTTTGCACGTAGCAAGGGGTGGGGAAAAACTTGAACTCTTGACCTGGTAACTCATCGTTGTACAAACTTTGTGGGTCAGCTGGCCGCTCTAACCTATCTGGCCTTTTGGCGACCATGTCAACGACTGCACCGGTTATTAGCTCCTGTATATCCAAAGATCCCTTGCTCACAAACCCCACATCGCCGTCCAATGGATTCTGGCGAGGACGAGGGGTCCAGTAGCGGTCAAAAACACGGAAGTTGTTGGGGGATTCCAGCTGGCGTAATACAATCTCAAAAAATTCGGCGTCACTCATATCAGTCTTTTGAGGCACGCGTAGGAAGTTTACCCCGGCACCAGGCGGAAAAGATAGTGAACTATGCAATTCTAGGATCTTTTTAAAAGTTTGTTCGCTCTGAATCGGATAGAGAGAAATAAATTCATTTCGACAGTCTAAGAACTGATCCACAATTTCGAGTAAACGAGTTGTTGAATTCAAAATGAAAGGAAGATTCCGGAGTTTTGACGTCAGGCGCGAAGCAAATGGACAAAACTCAGCTGCGAAATTAGGCTGAGTGACTTGCAGCACCTCGCATAGTTTCAGGAGACTTTCGGAAACAGCCAATGGACGATTATTTGCGATCAGACGAATCAGTGCCGGACCCGTATGATTCAAATAGTGTTTTACTATAGTGTGGAATCGATCGGTCAGTCGCCAAGGGTATGAAGCACGGCGCATTATTTCATCGGTCACCGGCGTGGAAGGATAATAATATATGTAGCCAAAAAGGAAAAAACCTAGTCTGCTCACAAAGCTTTGAATGTGGTCGGTGAGAAAAAACTGATAAACTGTTTTACAAAAATCACTGACTGGAGACTGTGTAGTGGATTCCGAAGCGGAATTACTGGCCATCCGACGCTGCCTATTAAGCGACGCACCTTCGACTGTCAGTATACCTGAACCATCCGTCATCGAGGGTGGTAAAGATTTCAGCTCCAGAGCTAGACGGCCCAAATCGTTCTGATCTGCTGGCACACCGCAAACAGGGACGGACAAATTTCCAATGAAGTCGAGGGTAGACACACTGATGTTAAATCCAAAAATATTTATTATGCGGTTTCCAGCCGAAGCGATTCTTGGTGACGGTGAGAAGAAATCCGAAGAAAACTGTGAAAATGCATCATAGAAATCCGTAATGTTGGTCATTGTTTCACGACTGGGGAGTATCACTCCGGATCCATAGAAATCACCTCTCAGACTGAAGGAGACAGGAAGATGAAATAAAACTGAAGGTCATTTTGGCAGCATGTGGTTAAGATTCAATTGAACAAAAGTGCTGTAGTACCGAAAAGACGAACTTGTTTACGAAGATGGCATTATACAACTCATTTATCATCGGTATAATCCGCAACTGTAAAAAACGCGTACTTGTAGCAAAGTGGTTCTAGATACCTCAGCTTCGTTCACTGATGTTTGTGGAGGTGGGGTGGACAGCTGCCCTTTGGGGTGATAGTATGCTTGGTGCGTAGATGCAGTGGTGTTAGCGGGATTTTAGTTGGGGAGATCAGGAAGCTACAGCTCTGATGCACCGGCGTCATTGTGAGCGTTAGTGAGTCATGTTTTGTATCGGCATCCCTAACCAGAGTGACGGTAACGACCAGTAGAGCTGAGTTCACCGGTAATCTATGCCACACTTCGCTGCCAAGTCACTGTTTGCCTTCCCCTGACTCGTTTCCACTCTTCACGTGGTTGTACGAGAAAAAACCTTCGAGAAAGTTGATCGAGTAGCATGCATAAAAAACGTAGCCAAGCTATCGCAAACTACGAAGTATGATCAGTTCACCTATGGTCTCTTCCGGAAACCATTGAACACAGTTCAGAATTAATGATCTGGTGTTCGCACCAGACTCAGGCAATGCTCCGAAGAAATCGATCGTCAAACACTGAAAGAATTTTGACGTCTTGGACGCACAGCGATCAGGTTTCTGCAGGCCAGTTGCCAAGCTCGGTGAACAGATCAACAGCCACCTGATCAACAACCAGGTTTCTGACCCGTATAGCAATATGGCGCGCACCGTGGCGTTGTAAACTCGAGTCTTGACAGATACGTTGATGTCGCAGCTGATACAGGTACGCAAAAGTTGCTCTGGCCTTCCCAATCCGGATGGAATGATCACCCTTGAAATATCGTCTTTGAGTACACCGCCGGAACGGATAAAACTGCCCAGGTAGACGAATTAGTCAACTACTTTAATCGGTTTATACGTAGACATGAGGTTAGGGTTGAGTCCACCCAGTCTTACAGAAGCACTTTACATTTCGCAGGTGTGTAAGGCCTGCTAAATCGTGGGACAGAATTAGTTAGAATATTTCATACCATCTGTATTACGACTGCGTCAGATCCAAGAACGGCTATGTCGACTGTGTGCTCTGTATGTCTTGGAAGCATTTTGGCCCCAGATGCATTAGAGGCTGGTTGTGAGTCTTTCAACATCGTATCAATGAAATGCGAAAGAGGATAGCCTTGCCTTATATCGTTTGATTTAGTGAACTAAGGCGAGAGCTTCGCGTAGACCATCACACGTCAGCAGCAATTGGCGTACACCACCTTAAGGGGTTCATGACTTTACAGGGGACACCTTGCTTGATAGATACTGCCATGGTGCCAAACGTTCCAGAGCCAAAGGCGGATTTTACGTCAAGAAACCATCATTGTTGGTTGCTTGAAACGATGTTGCCATTCTCGTATATGATAAAATGTGAAAATGTGGTCGATGCATCTCCTGCATGCAAAATCTTGTACACGGGCCTGGGAAAGGTTAACACAGATAAAGCTTATGTTGCCGTACTTGGAATACAAAAGCCAGACCAAACAAGTTTGTTCACTCTTTGAAGATATTCTATTTTGCACGGAACATTTTGTGAGCCAACGACTGTATTGCTTAACTGAATGTGCTCAAAATGATATTTTCACTTCCCAAGGTTAACAATGCCGCGCACAGAATTCGTTTCAACTCACAAGGGCTCTCAACAAAGGGGACTGCCTCTGGGTTTCCCACCAGACTAGCTTGGGCAACCTTGCAAGTCAAGGGCAAAGGTTCCCTGTAGACACAAAAATAGCCTGAATTCAAAGCCGAGTCCTCCAAGTGAAGTGTGATTAAACAAATCAACCCGTCTCCTCAAGAAGAGAGTTGATGGATCGATTACCGTTCATCACAAACGACCAGTTTTACAGTGCTTACTCCAAAACTATTACCCTGAACAGAGACTAGAACAAATTAGACAGGGTGACTTGGGTGAGGATAGGACATGTTGGTCGCAGTGTAAGGAATTCTAACTACAAGTTTCAGGTGTGTTGCAATGTATGGGTTGCCAAGCCATATTCATATACACCGTACCCTGTAAGTGATTTCGACCAAGAGGATCATTGTTTCACCTTTAACTTTAATTGCACTGCTATTTGCGTAACGTTTCATAAGTAAGCATTCTGTCATAACTACTGCTTTGGCAGAAGACTACTCAAATAACTGTAAAATTGCACAGCAAAGCAATACTTAAGTAGTAGGCATGGTCGTCCCTGCGTATGCACATTCACAAAGTTACTAGTTCCAAGGTTGCATTCTCTGAAACTTATAAAAAGATTCTAACGTCCTGTGAATGACACATGATGGACAGCGAGCCTCTTGCAACTAAACGCATGATTTTTCCTACAAGGTGATCGTTACACCTTGTAACAAACTCAGGATGAAACGATACCATAATTCGTTCTCACGCTGTTTCCTCCGCTAACCCTGTGTACTCAATGGTCACCCCTAAACCCGCATGAATTTTCGACCCTTAGCATGTTGAACCGATTCCGATGAACTTTCCACGTACGCTTTTTGACCTATCGCATGACCACGTGAGGTTTGCGCACGTTTGTCGATACTTCACATAGAGTTGCCGTTCTGGCCGGGCTTTGTTTGAACCTGCACCAATTCGTGCAACAATCAGACGGAAATCCTCATAACTTGAGATTTGCTCCCCTTTCATATACACAGTTTGTACGTACAATACGTGCTGGTACGTCTCAATGCCTCATAATTGTTGGCTTGTGATTTCGCGCGTCACGGCCTCATAATTCTTGGCTTGTGATTTCGCGCGTCACTCAGTTGGGCTTCTCGGAATAAGTGACGTATTCTACACCTACCATAACAAATAGCTTACCCACCCAGTGGACTACGTTCTATAAAGCCATCTACTTCGCCGGAAATTTATTATACACTAAAAATAGTAAGAACATGGGTTTTTAAGTATTTCGTTTGCAGGCATGCACTTTGGTTTTCTAGTGCAAAATCTACCGCGTTTTCTGAAAATCATATTGGAGTCGAACGGTAGCACACATGCAAAAGCACTTGGTGAGAGCAGACATTGAGTCGGGGGCTGGCCGGCCTTGTTCGACACGCCACAGGTTTTAGTAATAACTTTTCTGAAAATCATTGGAGTCGAACGGTACCACACATGCAAAAGCACTTGGTGAGAGGAGACATTGAGTCGGGGGCTGGCCGGCCATGTTCGACACGCCACAGGTTTTAGTAATAAAAGTGCAGACGGGCAACAAATGACCAATAAGAGAGCTCTGAAATTTCAGGTAAGCAAGGCCTGATTTCAAGGTCGGATGGGAAGGCTGTTGAATGCGTTTGTGGTAGCAGTGTGGTGTGTGGCCTCACAACGCACACGTAGTGAATGCTGTTAACTTTTTGAGCCAAGAGAACAAATGTTACTCAGATATCCATTGGGCATATCTAGGGCCAAATGGTAGGTATGAGGTGTCATGGTACAGGCGTATGGAGAGAAATGCAGCGATAAATGTATAGAAATGCAGAATTGTAGAGAGAAATACCTCAGCTATTGCCAGGATTATTCGGCCATTACCACAGAAAAACATACTCCCGATCGTAAACGGATGGCCAAGAATATCCTGAGAAAAATTGTAGGTAGTGGTCTCTTTTATTAGGAAGGTAGTTGCACTTGAGATGATTGTTATACCAAACTCCGTTAACAGACTACTGCGAACTGTCTACGAATGGCACACTGGTCACTTTTTATTGGTTTTTTGCATGCTTGCACATCATTCCCCCTCAGCTCGCCCTGAGAGAATCTTAGCCTAAATTAATCCCCGCCGAGAGGCACAGATGCAATCTGAGATAACTTAAACGGTATTAGTAGTTAGGATGTAAAATAGCGTTCATGTTCAACAGCCGGCAATACCAAATCGAAGCCGCGTCGAACAGCCCGACGTCAAGTAATACTCGCGTCATATGAGGAGCGCAACAAGTACTTCACGAAAGGAAACGCAGTTTAACTTCTCCTAGAGTGTCGCTCCTTATATGAGGGATACGACAATAGTCAGGCCTGATCAGGAGTAATTTTTTGGTTACCCTTCGTAGCCTACATTTCAGGGGCTTGGATGCAGTTTTAGGGTGGATTTGTTGTCCCGATGAACAGGGCCCACTTCCTTCGTTCAATCCCATGATCAATAGGCATGGTCTCGGGTTGTACCCTAATCTATGGGTTTATGTATGAGCGCGTATAGGCGTGAATTTCCATCGGCACTTCAATAACAGGAATATGCATCATTCCCTGGTGAGACTCTGGAAGAATTGCATTCAGCAAACGAACCGATTCCCGCACAAACTGCAATGTGAAGTGAGTCGAACAGACGTTGGACAAAGACTTTTCAGTAAGGCACAGTAGAGAGTATCATTGTTACCTTGAATTCAACCAAGCCAAAAGCAAGTAGGAATTAGAGACGGAAAAGCCTGGAACAGACGGATTATGTATTAGTTTACAGTAGGTAATTGGTGTTTGTTCGGCACGGACTTATCCTCTCCCAGTGGGCGCCCGTTTGACTAATTTTTGCGAAGCGGTCGGCACTTTTGTATTTGGCAGACAATCATAGTCAACCTACCCAATCGCTTGGTGGCTAAGGTGACGTTTCGCGTATGAACAATAACGTCATTTTGGTTTCAGAAATTATGTTTATCATGAGATCGCTGCTTAATCATCTGGGTAAAATCAGCCAGACAGACCGGCGCTTAATTCCTAGTGGGATGCTTTAATAAGGAACTGCGAGGTACATTCTTGAATTCGACGCTTTTTATCATGACTTTCTTTGAAAGGTCAAGATTCCTCACAATCACATAGAATGTGTTTTCTGGTTTCTCTTTTGAATCCGACCCAGGTGGTCGTCCTATTGTTGGGCGGATTAATCGTTCG